TGGGTTGTTTCTGTTTACCTTCAATCTCACAGCCAATGAGTTCAAGTCGCAGGCCCATCCCAGCAGGAGTGGCCCTCTCTGGATAAATTCTGATGAAACGAGTCAGCAGGGGCTCCACTGTCCTCAGCTCAGGTGTGTCGTAATTGCTGTTACCTTCAAATATCTGGCAGAGAAAAAAAAAAAAAGACAGGCGACACAACATATTACATTCTGCTTACAGACTTGGGAACACTGTTAGGGATTTCAATTTTGGCTTTCTGAGCATTCAATGTAAAATGTGTGGGAGGTAACTGCTCTGTTAGGTGGAAAGTAACAGGAGAGATCAGCAGATCTCTTTAGTCTTACTGATATCAGAACCGCAGCATACGTGGGAGACACCAGGGGTTAAAAACAACTTTCAGCTCATTGGACTAAGAGTTCAATAAGATCTTTAGCAAGCAAAGGAGAGGTGAGTAGGAGATGTATGATATGAAGCAAGAGGAAGACAGAGGGCTTATAGAAGTGGATTAATTTGTCTGATAACGTGAGAGAGTCTGCTGAGCTTCAGATGCTTGGGTACCTCCTCTCATGCGTTGGAAGAAAGAAAGCTAACTAGGCCAGGCAGGGGTATGGATCTCCCCTGCTCGCTTCATAAATCAACCATCAGCCCATCTGGATGAGATTTATGCCCTGTCAGGGACAATTGTAATTGGGGACGGGGTGCTGTAGCTCCTCTTGGAAAAGAATGTAGCTTTGTATGAGAGCATGAAATTTGTTTTGTATGTGTGAGTTTGTGTGCAGACACTTTGCTGTAGGGATACATTGAATGCTACACAGCAGGTAGATAAATCTTTGGTCACTCTCAAAGCAGGGAAGGGATTTTTTCCATTTCTTGCCATTCCATTATACTGCCCCACCAAAGAATCTGAAGACTGTAAACCTGAAGAGTTTCTAACGTATACTACTAAGTAGAAAGTCAGAACTATAGCGATGTATAACAGTGAAAATTAACTTTTAACTATGTAAAACTTACAGGTACAATGTTCTGAGCGGAACTGAACAAATGAATGAGAATCAATTAAGCAATTGGGTCAGAAATGAAACTATTCAATTCAATGTGTTCCCTTGACAGAGGTATGTACTTGAAACACAGCTTTTTGTAGGGTTCGTTTCATTATCGCAGACAGTTTGTTTCTTTGAGATTATTTATTTTTTAAACTGGGTTAGCTTTGATAGATTTTGTGTAACAATCGAACAATAAAAAATTAAGTGTTTTTGTTGCGAATCCCCCTGGCAGTTACCTCCATCCACCCTTTAGCTTGTCCTTAACTAAGATCAGGCTGCAACAGTAACAGGTCCAGTTAAGAATGACACTGCTCAGCTCAAATTTGGGTGTTCCTGTTTGTATTTCCAGGTCAATATCATAATAGTCTCTACCCTCTACCTTCTATTTCAAGTGGGACATGCTTGGAAAACCATTTAAAGGTTGGCTAATTATCTGTAAGGGTTAGACTAAGCACCCAAAGTGGGATGCAGATTTAAACTCATTTTCTACCAGAACCCCACTTTTGTCTCATTTTAACTTTTGTCATGCTATCCCACATTGTCTCATGTTAGACAAACAATAGTATTGGGACTGTTTTGGATTAATACTCAGTGGCCAAACTTTCTTTGAGATGACAGACTGGAGCTACACCAACAACTGCAGATGAGGTGTCAATCCACTTCATCTATCATCATTCCTAAACAAGACAATAAAGAGGCTAAACTCATGTGCTTGATGCACATATCTAGCATGTTTAATTTTCAGTCAAAGGTGTTGGCAGATTTCCCCGTTCAGGCTGAGAAATATTGGGTCTATGGGTGAAACCTTTAACCACCTCTTTTTTTAATTGTCATTACACTGTCACAAGTACAGAACAACAAAATGAATTCCATGCATTTAACCCATACCCTTGGGGAGCGATGGTATGCCCTTTTGCGGTGCCTGGGGAGCAGTTTGGGGGTTAAGGGTCTTGCTCAGGGACCCAGAGTGGTAAATTGTGGGAGTGGGGCTTCAACTCAGAACCTCCAAATTCCAAGTGCAATGCCCTAACCACTAGGCCTCCACTCCCCTAAACAGTGGGCTGCCATTGTGTGGCACCCAGGAAGCAGTGTGGGGGTTAAGGGTTTTGCTCAGGGACCCAGAGTGGCAGTCAGTTGGAGCGGGGCTTGAACTAAGAACCTCAATGCCCCAACCATTAGGCCACCACTCCCCCAACCCCAGATGAACTCCCAGATAAAGTGAAGTACCACTTCATTTGTTGAAGTGGTACCTCATTTCCATTGCTGAACAAATGCCAAATTTACTCATGGATTCCCCCAACATACCTTTGGCTTGTTTCCACTGGTGTCATGCACCATCCTCCAGTCAGAGCCGTTATTGCTGTGTGCAAGACGGAACTTCTTCATGAAGACCTTGTTTTCCCGGTATTTGCCTCCCTGTATGATTAACCCCTTCACCAGCTTCTCTTCACCAAGATCCACCTGCAGCCATTCGTTTGTGAAAGGCTGTGGCTGAGGCAGCAGGGTCCACCCTGTCCTGCTGTTGAGAAGGCGGGCATTCTCAGGCACCCAGCTCCGGTCCGTATGAGAGGACGCCGTGATCTGGTTGTCCGTGATCAGGCCTGACACCATGCCTAGCATGCCAGAGCAGGGGTACTCTGAGAAACAAAGGGCACAAGAAAATATTGTTAACTTTTTTGATTCAAACCCTGCTGGGATGCAATATGAAAAAAGGACTTGATTTATGTTCAAAGGGTTGATGACCAAGATCATCTGCAGTGCCAAAAGCATATTTTTGTCTGGGTCTTATAAAGAGGGTAACCAAAGTCAAAGAGAGGAGGATTATTCCCCAAACTCTTTAAGATGTTACTGTGATCCCCCCTTTTATTCTCTGTCTCTCTATGTGTCTGTAGATCTCATGCATACTAATTCCTCAGCCTGAAGCGATTGTCTCCAGGCAGCCAATTAAAACCCTCTTGCCGGCTGGTGCTTCCACCTCCTGCATTCTTGGGGCTTTCTGTTTTCTTTCTATCTCCCTGCCCTGTTCTCCATAGACTTACATCCACTCACATACAAAAATACAATCTTTTTGCGCTGTTTTTGCTGCCACAGCAATCATCTGCCTTCTGCTTCACAGCTGTCAACATCTGTGGGATTACAACTTAGAACATATCCTTGTTTTCTGTTCACAGTTCCAGATTTTCTCCTTTCTTTTTTCTATTTATCTGATCTTGATATCGAATGCATTATCCCAAATGCATTTATTTTAAAATCTATGTTACTTTTGTTTGTGAGAGAAACTAGACTTTTTCTTTGGAGAAACATTTTGCCATTCCTCTACCTTTCGCTTTTTTCTTTTAGCAATCATAAGACAAACAAGTCATTGTTCCATTTTGTTGTGTCCATATGAGACAAAGTGTACAGAGTCAGGATTGCTGCATCTGTGGGAAAAACGGTTTGCAGAACAAGGCTTTCAGTCTACCTCTGCTTATGGGAACGTTTCCCATGAAAACCCCTGAGATGAATTCCTGGTCATGCAAAACAAAAAGCTAGCAATCGCTGGCTGCACAGAAGCCTCTTTTCCTGTGATTTTTTTGTCCTGTTTTTCTTTCTTCTTTGGCCAAGATCTGTTAAATATGATCAGAGGAGCTGGCCTTTAGTCGTGTAAAGCTAAGGCAGTGAGATCTAAACACCTTTTGATGTGAGGAAAATGCAAGAGAAAGGTGCATGTGTGTGCATGAAAGTGGATGAGAGATAAAAGCGGCTCACGCGACTTCCCCAGATCATCTGGAGCTGCTAATCGAGCTCAGCTGCGATTATAGCGGCTACAGGGATGGCAAGCATGCCATGACACACCCATTGGAACGAGTGTTTATGTCGGTGGATGGTAAGAGTAGAGATGATGCAGGGCCTTCGTGGACCACGATTGAGGTTTGGGTGGAGCATCCGTGGTTCATCTGGGCTATTTTTACATCACGGCATATTTACCAACAACTGGGTGGTGTATCCATTTATTAATGAGTAGCTGTTTGTATCAGAAGGCAAACCACCATGGTAATTTGTGGTGATGTCCAACTCACCCTCTTTCGTAACTGGTTGGACATCATTAATTGAAGACGGGACCTCCTAAACTATATGGTTTCCTCTCTAGTCCATGTCCCACTTTGATGCACTGCTTAGCTGCCATGAAAGCACTTCTTGGTGACGGTAAAGATGCACTCAGAAAGCTCTCAATAGTTTTTACGTCAAAATATCAAAGGTTGAAGAGGAGTGGCAAGTCATAGAGTTTATGTAGCCCTCAACAGCCTTGGTTTACCTCGCCCCAACTGTGCTAGTAGCATGCAGTGGAGCTGGCAGTGTCTTCAGAAAACCAATGGGCACTAACGTCATATTGGAGGCCCTGTGGTGACTTCGATTCTGTGATGTGTTTATGCTCGGCGCAGCGCTCTGATTATGTGCGGCACACACAAACCCCAGCTGTAACCCCGCTGCACCCACAGGGCCATCTGCTCTTATAAGATTGGCCACGCATATGTGATGCATAAGTGACTGGCGCTACAAAAAAAGAAAGGAGCACCAAATTATCCTGATCCCAACTTTAATTCCATGTTAAGCATTGGCCTGCTGCTGATATCAAAATATAAAAAGTTGTTGCGCAAAATGATCAGCCCTGTTCTTAAAAGTCATTTTTAAAGAGATTGTAAAGAGAGAGTGAGTTAGATTCTCACAACACAGAATAACACAGATCCGTCCCTCCCCCACATATTGCTGCATACTTCTTAAAAGAATGCTAAAGCAATTTTTTATTTTTCTTGGCCACAAGAAAGACATTTCTAACCATGAAAACGAGAAGGACGTAGAGAGATTAAGAACGGTACTCTTCTCTGGGGTTTAAGTCATTGTTCCCCTACCTAAATAGATAAATTTTATCGATAAACAGAGGGGGTGGACTCCGATTTAAGCTTACAAAAACCTACAATGCAGCAATTGAGTTGATCCCTTCCCGCTATCATCGCAACCCCAACATCTCGCCTATTCAGCCAGGCCAACAATTCCCTTTAACGACCCCCCTTTCAGAGACTAAGATGGGTAAGGGGCATTGCAGGTTAACAAAAGAAGCCAAACGACCCCCATTCTAAAGCCGTGGACCCGTTCGTCCATTTTAATTAGCATGCTTTCAAATAAAAATCAAGCTACTGTAAAAAACCACAAACTCAACGCTATTCCTGACATGTTGAATTGAAAAACCTTCCTGGATGGGAAGCGAAACGTCTTCAAACTTGGAAATAAAGTCCAGTGGATTGTTTTTTTAACTCTTTTTTTTGGAATATTTTACTACAATTGCTTCTCAGTTAGACATGCATCAGGTTAAATGTTAAAGTTCTGAGTTCTCTTTTTATAATATCATTGTTAACCCTTCAAAATCTCTCTTTGAATAACTTTATGCTAGATTAAAATGATCTGAGATGTTAATCATGCTTGTAACGATCCCTGCTTTCATGTATTGTTATATCTTAAGTGGACTAAGGGCTAGATTAGAGGTGGCACTGTGACATTTGTTTTAAAATATTGTATATGAATTATTTGCACACAAATCGAACACAAATTACTTGAACATATCACTAAATAAAAATAAAACGAGTCTAAAATCTTACCCAGGGTATGGACCATCATTCCCATTAAAGAAAGATTGATTTTGTCTCCTTAGTTAAAGGAATTTTAGAGGAGAAATGTGCAGAATGTTGCTACTTACATTTAAAAATCCAAATGACTGAATGTTACAGATGCAATTACATTTTCAATCTTATTCTGGCCCATGTTTATTCAAGATGCCGACAGAGCAAAGGCAATGTCTCTTCTGTCTTTAATCTACTAAAGCAGGAATTCAAATTGAATACACATGTTCATATCCCACAGAGACAAAGATAGATGTGATAAAACCACACTAAATAGAGCCACCAACATGCATACGCTAATTTGAAACATCAACAAAAGGACAAGGGGAAGAAAGTTGTTGCTAAAATTAAAGTTATATAAGCAAAGAAAAAATGAAGAACAGGCTGAGAGCAAATCGGGAAAAGCCCACCCAGCACCATTAGGTGATTCAAGCCAGCTGCTTATTCTATTTATACTGCATGAGATTCATCTAAGTATGAGGTCGTGTTAATAGATAATCCCTTATTTCATTGCCTTTGTTCAGCATTATGCTGATGTGGCTTCGATTCTGTTGTAATGGGGGCTAAAACAAGTTTTGCATTTGAAGAGGAAACAATGAGATAGGAAAAAAAGAGTTAATCCACAGGCAATGTAGATTAGGATCAACTAGAATTGAAGAGGTACCCTACCTGATATCTTGCAGCCGTACACTTCGAAGCGCAGAGCAATGCCTGTTTCCCAGGTCACTGGACGGACGCGAACGAAGCGCGCCAGCGTAGGTTTAGGCAGCTTTGTCTTGGCAACGTCTGTTGGGTTGGTGTTGCCTTGGAAAATCTGCAAAAGAAGGAGGGAGACATTCTGATTATTGACAGAAATCCAGAGAAGCTATTTTTAGATAAAAAGAAATCTAAAAGAATTGTTGAAAATCCAGAGAATGTTCCAGATGTTTAATGTAAACCAGTATATTCGGGGAAATGGATGAATATTTCCTCGACTGAGTGTGGAAAGTTACTCATATGTAATCAGACAGGAGCTGCCTTTGCTTCATTTGATGCAGCTGAAGCAGTGAAAGGCTGTGAAACCTGAGGCTGGAAGTGTAACAGCGATCAGAACCGACTGACTTATGGTGCCCTTTTACCATTCTCTGTATCCAGATTGGGTCTTAGTTTTACTGCATTGTCGTGCTGAAAGGTCAGAGATGTCAATGTTCTCCCCTGAGGTCCGATGACAGTTTACTAGCACTATGAGGAGGCCTGCCACCCAGCCCAACAACTGCCCACAGTCCGTCACAGTTCATTCTGAGTAATTGAATCTCAAAGGCAACCACACGGCCTCCTGACCTCCCTGACCGAGAAGTTACGAGGCGGAAAGGATTCCAGCTGAGAAAAGTCAGGCAGATGGAAAGATAGCAGTTAAGCTTATCTAGAATGAACTGAAACACCAACTGATCCATTAGACCACACAGCAGTACTACCAAGACCTTCATCCACATCACTGAGGGACCCTTCTAAAAAGTCAGCCACTTCCTTAAATGCCATGCAGAGTCTCCTCTCACACACTAACTGTAAAGTGGCTTTTTCCTGAGCTGTGCTAAGATGCCAAACTGCAGGCTCAGCATGTAGTAAATGGTGCCCTTCCACACAAAAGCACTTTAGAGGCCAGAAAAAAAACATGCAGGGCTTTAGGCGGCACCTTTAAGCTGCCACTTTACAAAAGGAACAGTGTACTCCAGAGAGACTATGAAAGAATCAAGCTTGGGGGCACAAGTATGTAGCAACAATTGTTTGGATGGTCTGGGAAGCATTCTGAACTCAACATTTCTTCTTTCAAAAGCGTCTTATAGGTTTTAAATATCACGAAATGAGGGGACTGTGCGGCACATAAATGTTTGTCAGCCTCCCTGAAGGGACGCCTTCGCTTCCAGATGGACAAAGTCGGGTCATTTGACAATTTGATTCACTGTTTAGAGTCTGTCCCAGTCAGTCAAACATCTTTTTTTTTCCCCCTTTAATTTGGGATCCACCTCTATCAGCTCATCAGACCTGGCAATCTCAGCCTCCATGCTATTCAACTTCTGTACCTGTTTTTTAGGTCAATTTATTTCGGTCATTTTAAATCATTTGCCTAAATCAATCTCTTAGAAACGAAAATAAAAGTTAGAGTACAAAAATGTAAACAAAAACCCATGTGAGGCTAAGAGCTGAAATAGCTTCGTACTTTAAAACAATCAAATGCTTCTTAGTTAAGGAACAAGAACTTGACTAGCAGAGATGGGAAGTAACAAAGTATAAATACTTCGTTACTGTACTCAAGTAGATTTTTCTGATATTTTTACTTTACTTTACTACTTATATTTATGGCGACTTTTTACTTCTACTCCTTA